ACATATCAAATAATTTACCCACCCAGTTTAATATTTAAAGAAAAACCGGCTCTTAACTAACTGACCCTTCACAAAAAAACGAGGAGCACGTGGCCGAACTCATTACCCTTATTCTCGACCTCACGGATATAAAAACTATAGAGAAAAAAAAAAGGATTACTGGTAATTAAGTTAGAGAAAACGAAGCTCACCTTGTAAACAAAAGGATTTTCCACAAGAAACACGTTCCTTGCTTCCTCTCTGCTTGGCTTTACCAGTCAGCAAAACGATGAAAGAAAAGTATATCCCAATAAATGGCGAAGGACGAAAAATAAGCTACTTAAACACAACCAATAGTATCTTTTGGTACACCAACATTATCCACAAATGCTTCGTCACATATATTAGTTTCAGCAAAATAATCCCTATACTCGTAGATTGGAATAAAACAAAATTTCCGGATTCCCTGAAACCAAATCACATTTTTCCTTGTTGTCGAATTCCGACTTATGATTAACCCTGTATAGTTGTCAACCGCAAGTAACCAAAAACTTAGCCTTCCACCGGAAGAACGTCACAATCAATTTTTATCACGCAAGCTCGACTCTAACTGCCACTTCCGACAGAAACAGTTGTGATCGTATTCCAAAATCAACTAGGCATTCAAAAAAAGAAAAGTAGTTGAATTCAATACACGTATGCTGTTATCGACCATCAGAACCACAACCGAATGCGCTTCAACTATGAAAGCGTCGACACTTGACTTTTCGAACGTCAAGTCAGTTGAGACCAGCTGAGTATGTCAAAACAATATCTAATATGAATACACATTATAAATTAATCGAATTACGAACTAAAAATACTGCATACACAAAAGGTAAACAGAAGCCCCACTAAAACTAACTTAAATTCACATAATATATTTTTAGAACAATTGTCCAGAGATCTATAACCTTAGTGAAATACAGTTTTCACCAGACTAAAACTATGAGGTATGGAAAAAAGATATAAGTAGTTAACGAAGACAAACCTAGGTTAAGCTAAAACCTCGAGTCGCTTTAGACGTAATGTTCGTGGATTAATCATATGACTATCAAAGTAAGTAAGTAGATCATACTGTCGAACTTCGATCATATACATTATCAAAAAAAAAAAAAAAAAACTAAAGAAAATTTAAATAAACTATCTTCGCTGATGGAGTATGAGGGATTACAATATTGGCAAAAAATTAAAAGTTTAAATGCATCACCAAGCTCACAGGCACCATATTGACAACAACATTAAACAACAAATAAAAAACTTGTAAGTTCCAATTAACAAAATCAATTAGCGAGCCACAAGAGTCACTACAGTGAAACCCGAAGAATTTCCACTAAAAGCAGTAAGCTGGAAATGCAAGAACCACCCCAAGCACTCTAGGATAGGACTATTGTTTCAAGTGACATCATGACCACTACCACAATAATCAACATCTGTCACGTGATATAGCCCTTTTTATGACAGCGTTGCAAGAGACTCGTTGCTTGACCAATAATCTTTTATACTGGGTAGTTTATTATAGCACATAATCACGAGCACGATTATTATTTCATAATTATCAGTTTTTTTTTGAGTTTAGTTTTTTATTTTTACTGTTTTGGGATAAAGCAAGTCTTAGATTGGGACAATGAGCGATGTACTTAAAAAAAGAACGCGGAATACATCTAAATCACTGGAACTTCGTCCAACATCCAAAGTGACTACTCCCTGCCTTTCATCTGGAATTGTGTGCTTTGGTTTGAAGCTTGGTTTGAACCTTCTTGTTTATCCAAACTTTCATGAATATTTTTGCTTTTCTTTATCTTCTTCGCTAGACAGATACTCCTTAGAATCTGAACCAGAAAAGGGCTCTTCTGGTTCAGACAAATCACTGAGTTCTTCAGCGACTTTGTTTAATTCATTTTCAGTTAGGGCCATAATTTGGGACCTGCAATCAATAGAACTATTGTTACCATTTTGAGTCGATATAAATGACTATTGGGACACCGGTGGGCCGAACACAGATACTGCTGGGACACCGGCGTCCCGTCAGAAAAATTCGGCAATAATAATTATCTAAAATGGTTCTGCCTGTGTATTTTACTTACTTTGGACAGAGAACGGTCCCAAAACTTCTTTGAAGTGGTTATTTTGCAAAATCACTGAAAATGTTACAAAGCTACAGTATACTGGATAACGATGTACACAAATACCTGTTTCTTAAAAATCTGAGGTTAAAATGACGAATTATGGGTTGCATATAACAGAGGACTGTTAAGAAACATGGATAGAAGTAATTTACATGAATTTTCGGGACCAATAGAATTTTTTGAAATTGCGTGGGACACATAGATCCCAGAGTCCCGAAAGGATTAAAGCTGTTGCTTCGAAATTCCTTTAATCAGCTGTAAAACTTTTTTATGGGGGCTGAAGTTTCGTTTGGTCACACAGTGTAGGCAATCAGTTTTAATTGAGAGGTCAGATATAGTGTCCTGACGACGGCTTTATTTACGAAGTATGAAAGAGTTTAGAGCCATGAAAAAATATTTACTATCTCGATGAAACATGGGTGAATGCTGAACACACGGTGTCTAAAACATGGCAAAATTTTTTGGTTACGAGTCATTGCTAAGCTTTTGTGGAGATATTATTTAAAAGCACCAACGATGAAAAACTACTAGATAACTAGACTAATCCATTTATTCATAATAAAGCCCTTTTTATTGCAATTATTCAGATTGTGTTTATTATTACGCAGACAGAGCGGTCGCATCGGCTGCCTCATTAGAATGAAGAAGGCAGCTGCTAATTTGAGTGGGGATGATTTATGCAAGTATGTTTATCTAAGGAGAGAGCATGCGTTTTTGATTGCATCAGTATTTACGTCTACTACGCTTGCTTTACACTGCTGTCACACTTCAAAATTAATTTCGTAATTTCCTGATAAACAATATACAACTATAATGGTTGCAATGAGAAAAAAATTATTAAACTAATAATAACTGGTATTACAAATGCAAATATACTTTCATATTGTAATTTTAAAACTTTAACCATAAACAATCCTACAACTACGTGGATAACACCGTGAATGATTGCAATTTGATTTTGGTAAAAAAAATTGTCCTATTAGTTTTCTCGTCGTTGAAAAGCACCATCAGGTAAAATACAGCAACTAATTGTTACCCATACTGAAAGTGTCATACCTTTTATCGGGTCGGTGGTGTAGCGGTCTCACGCGCTTATATTTATTTATAGGAAAGTTTCTGGTCAGAGACAGATGGGCTGCGAATCCTACACCAGACCATGTGGATTTTAAATTAAATTGCATGGTTCGGTATGGATTTTAATGTGTGTCGTATTAATAGAAATTCAATTTTTGTTGATATGACATGCAGATTATAAAATCTCAATGCATTACCGTCTCGATGATGGTGGGTGAGGTTTTAAGGGGTTTCCTCACCTGTAAGTCAAATGGCGCCATCAATCATCTTTAAGCGCCACGGCAAATAGTAATAATAGCCGTCCCTTTCCCCGCACAAGCTTTTGGGATTAAAATTCACTCGTAAGGGGGTGAATTAGGGAGAGTATTATTATTATCATCATCATCTTATTTTTAAAAAACAATGCTATTGTGTTTATATAAAACAGGAGACTACCACGAAGACATAAATGCAGAACTCTTAAAAGTGGATTACTAAAGTGTTACAGGGTGTAGAACCAAATTCAGTTATTATACTAGATAACGCTTCTTATCATAGCTGACGAGTTAAACGCATACGACCATGTCTGGTGAGAAAGCGGATAGGCTAAGAAGTCTTAGGGATAAAAGAGTAATATTTACTAAGTAGTTGCTATTAATAAACCTTATAAAGGAACACCGTTATAAATATATTCAATATGTTGTCAACACAATGTCTTCTTAATCGTAATATTTTACATTACTAAGGCTTCCCACTTATCACTGCGAATTTAATCCTATTAATCCAACTGTGAAAGGGTTTGTTGCTTAAAAACAATACATTTAAAATAGGCGATGTTCAACGTTTATTAAAAACGGGTATAGAACGTATAAAACAAAGATTGGCAAAATACTATTTCTCACGTAAATAAGGAAGAAATTATTATGGCTGCCTAAAGGGTTTGATTAAATCGGCATTTAAACCTTTAGTCATAACTTTGAGTTTCGACTATAAGGACGATTTCAGTGATACTTCTGCAGAATTAGTAGATTACGATACTTTATAAATTCAGAAGTCATGTAAGTAATAGCATCATTTACAAATTAACACAATAAACAAATTCAAATTATAAACATAGATGATTATTCATCTATTAATATTCACTAATACCCATTTGCCAATATAATGTTTCTACGCTACTGAAAGAATAGATTTTGGCAATGACCATGCATATATGACTAGTATATCACATGCGATATCGATAACTTCTGCGGGCATATGGCGCGTGATACCCTTGTGATACGATTCATAATTCACCGGTATAGTACGATTTTTGTACGTGAACAGGGATGAATCACTTTCTCCAATATTTTGTTTGAGTATAATCTTAAGTAACACTCATCACATACCTTTTTGAAAATACACAACATATTAATGTAACACCACCACAGGTGTCTGGAAGGCAGAGAAAGTTTTCGCACGAACACGATCTGCCATATTGACGAGAAATCGTTAACAAAGTCCCCAGGAAATAGAAAAAACTTACCTCCAAATCATACCTGTTCCTAAACGTGATTTTTTCGTGAATCCTTAAATATAAATTTCATGGTTGAATAAACACAGTGAACATTTTTCTTCATGGCTCAAATTCGGATATTTTGAACGAGACACAACATTTTTTGGCTCAAAAATGGTGAAAATTGTAGCCAGAAAAATTCTCTTTCCGAATAACACATTGAAAAATATTAATTTTAGCAGAGCCACAAAATATATACTCATACTCGCTTTTCTTAAAAAGCAGATTTTATTCAAAAATGCTAAATGTCCAACGTTCGGTTGGGTCGAAATTGGGCAAAAAACCCTATCAAACAGAAAAGACCTGTCATTTGGGGTAATGCTAAAGAAATCTTGGATACGGTAATAAGTAAACGCAATCTTATTGGGAATTACCTTATCAAAATAATGGCTGATGGTGGTCAAGGCTTATTCAAAGTATGTATGACCATCATTCCAGAGGATTATTTGTCCGAATCTATCGCAGATTCAAATGAAGATCATTCGTCGGCGAAAAAACACAAAATAGACAAAGTAACAAGTGTCCATAAACTAATTATGTTGGCAACAGTACCTGCGATCAGGGAGAGTTATGAGAATGTGAAGATATTATTTGATTTGATGAAAATAAACGACATTCCGTTCAAATTTGTGTCTGATCTGAAACTCTTGATAATTGTCAACGGCCAACAAACAGCTACCTCCTCGTTCCCTTGCCCTTATTGCTTCGTGAAGCTGCAATATTTAAGGAATCGCACAAACATTAATAGAGTTGATCCCCCCACAAATGACGAGAACAACGGAGATTTTCCCGATAAAGAACTTCTGGCGAATAAAACTTATGGTGATCTGCGCAAAGATTATCAAGAATTCGTATCTTTGGGTTGCGATAAAAAAGTTGCAAATAAGTCCAGGAGTACCATAAATACACCTCTATTCGTCGAAGATGGTAATGTTCCAGTACTGCAGAAGTGCATTATCCCCGAATTGCACATTCTCCAAGGGTTTGTGAATCATTTGTTTTGGATAGTTCTCGTACCTCTTCTCAGCAAGGAAAAAGCTCTGCTCTGGCCCCAGAAATTAAAATTGGTATCAAAAAACTATCATGGAGAGGCTTTCGAAGGGAATGCCTGCAAAACTTTACTTAAGCGAGCAGATGTGCTATTGGAACCAGAAATCAGTGAACACTTGGGCGGATCTCTAACTCTTCAACCATTCATTGCGGCTTTTAGAGCTATGGATAAAATTGTGCACTCATGCTTTGCGGTCAGGAGGGTTCAATCTGAATTGAGTTATAATATTAAAGATTTGAAGACAGCTCTTCTCGCAATAGACGTAACTGAAACTCTTAAAATTCACATTACTCTATGCCACATTGACGAAAGTCTCGAATTCTTGAACGATGATAAAGGTTTTGGTTTATGGTCCGAGCAGGTTGGCGAATCGTTACATAGAGAATTCCTAAAGTTTTGGAATAGACGTAAAATGAATAATCTAGCTAGATGATCCAGATTACCTGCTTAGATTGAAAGCAGCTGTTGTTGATTTCTCGTCAAAACATATTTGAATTTTCACAGAAAAAGAATGAATTGTATCAAATACACACTTTTGGAATATATTCGACCAGACTGTTATTTCATAATATCTTCACTGAGTTGTATCAATTGAATAAATATGCAATTGAATGAATATGCAATAATAATCATGTGTTGTAATGAATTAAATATGTTGTCATTTCTAACAATGCTATTCACTGATCTAAGTATTTCATAACCTTTAGCTCTCTTATTTCATCCCTTAAAAACTTTTTTGAGTCCCAAGGACAGTTTTTGGACATTCTCAACCCAACGGAACGTCAGACATTTAGCATTTTTGAATAAAATCTGCTTTTTAAGCAAAGCGAGTATGAGTATATATTTTGTGGCTCTGCTCATATATAATGGCAAAATTAATATTTTTCAATGTGTTATTCGGAAAGAGAATTTTTCTGGCTACAATTTTCACCATTTTTGAGCCAAAAAAAATGTTGTGTCTTGTTCAAAATATCCGAATTTGAGCCATAAAGAAAAATTTCACTGTGTTTATTCAACCATGAAATTTATATTTAAGGATTCACGAAAAAATCACGTTTAGGAACAGGTATGATTTGGAGGTAAGTTTTTTCTATTTCCTGGGGACGATTTCCCGTCAATATGGCAGATCGTGTTCGTGCGAAAACTTTCTCTGCCTTCCAGACATCTGTGCTACAAATTGTGTATCTACCGAAACATATTTGAGACTTAATATTGACTATTCTTATACCTATTTACGTGTAAGTTTAATAAAAAAAAAAAAAAAACAAAAAATTGAAGTTATGAATAATAAGTCTCTAGTGTATGAAAATCGGTATGTGTATGTTTATTTTTTGTTGTGCGTGTGAATGTAGGAATAAACATAAATAAACATTGTTTTTTACCATTTCTCAATTTGCATATTACTAGCGTGTTATATTTATCCTTTCTACTTATTAACCAGCGTTTTTATAAGTTACAAAATTTTATATATTTAATACATCACTTATAACTTATAACACACTTTTTTAGTAACATCTTGTACGTATTAGGGATTGTTTACTCTAAATACGTAACTATATAGATACCTGAAAAAATGCAGAATTGCGAGAAACATCGTGTATCAGAAAGTGGTTCTATATATAAAATTTAATTTTCCTTCGCTTGTCCTTGATATAATTACATTTTAGTTTCCTTGAAACCTACTCATCAGCACGTATTTTTTCTAGAGTAAACAAAATGCCCCATATTCACTGCTCCTATCATGTACCAAACCTGCATATCATTCCTTTTTTCGTGCTCACCTGCAACGCGCTAAATTATATTTAAAAGTGAATTTAAAAATTAAAAATGCTAAAACGCGCTCGTGTTTCTTAAGATCGGGATAAAAATAGTGCAAAACAAAGTTGATAAGGTAGTTAGGAGAAATAAAGGAACAAATAAAAAGAGTATAGCTCTAACGAAGAATCAACAGGTAGGCTGTTATTATATTTCATCATAAACATAAAATATTGCTTATACAGGGGAAAACGTACGTTATCCCTTCTGAATATCAAAAATAAACTACTTTATTTTATAAAACAATGCAATTATATTTAAAAGTAATTATAATTATTATAATTATATTAATTCGTTTTGGTTCGTTTACCAATCAATATTTTACATTCTAAGCATATTTTATATTCGTTAACATCAGCAAAGCATTAATGTGTTTCTTTGAAATATCCCATAAATAAAATTTTAAGTTTGTTTGGATATTGTATTATACAACATCGCTGTCGTCGTCTTATTTCTTGCAGTTGAAAAAAGCGTGATAAAATCAAAATAATATCTTTTAAAATACCGAGCGGTATTTTCTAAGAGGAAATCCAGCAATTTAATTGAGACGAAATATTCATCATTGGGAAGTCGAGCGATTCTTGATGATTTTTCTGTTTTGACTTATACAGGGAAGAACGTGTGTTACCCCTTCTGAATACTTTTGCAGTAATTCTATGTAAAAGTAGTATCTTTTAAAATAACGAGTAGTATTTTCTGAGGAAATCGGGCGATTTCATTGAGACGAAATATTCATTTAATCTTGTCTTTATGACCCTACGTTTTGAATTAACAGAATAGACGTTCATTATAACAGAATAGACGTTCTTGCATTAATATGGATCATTAGGAAGTCGAGCCATTCTTGATGATTTTTTTGTTTTTATGAACTTATTCAGATAAGAATGTGTGTTATCCCCTCTAAATACTTTTGTTCTAGTTCTATGTAAAAATAATATCTTTTAAAATATCGGGCGGTATTTTCTAAGAGGAAATAGAACGATTTCATTAAGACGAAATACTCATGTAACTTTTTCTTAACCCTACTGTTTGAATTAACAGAGTAGACGTTCGCTATTCTTGTATAATTATAGATCATTAGGAAGTCGAGCGATTCTTGATGATTTTTATCTTTTTATGCACTTATTCAGATAAGAATGTGTGTTATCCCTTCTAAATACTTTTTTACTAATTCTATGTAAAAATAATATGTTTTAAAATACGGGGCGGTATTTTCTAAGAGCAAATCGAGCAATTTCATTAAGGCGAAATATTGATTTAATCTTGTCTTAACTCTACTGTTTGAATTAACACAATAGACGTTCGCTATTCTTTTATAAATATAGATCATTAGGCAGTCGAGAGATTCTTGATGATTTTTTTGTTTATGGACTTATTTAAATAAGAATGTGTGTTAGATTTATGCGCATCTCGGGCGTCGCAACTCGAGCGGAATACTTAATTTTTTGCAGTTCGGACGTAAGGCTACAGGTAGATTAAATACCCTTCGCAACTCGGGCGTTCAGGGATCAGTACCAATATTATAGTAATATAATGAATGTCACCTCTTTAGTTTAACCTGAGAAGGTGCTTTCGGCTTAAACTTAAAATTATATACGGAGTGCCGTACAAGAGGAGCTTGCCAGTTTTCAAATATTATATAACTTTCATAAAACAAGATTTTTTATTTATCTTTCTCTGCGAAAATAGTCTTTACATTACAATATTATGACATTTGAAATTGTCGTTTTTAATGAAAAAAGTATAATTTAATTTTTATATAATAATTAGATTGATAACTAATAGTGTACCTACCTCGGCTAGCTAAGTAATTTTTATGTTAATACATTTTTTATGTACAGCGTGTCTGTGTAAGTTGGCTACATATAGAAAACTTTTTTTTTATTAGTTTTATCAAAAAAAATTAATCGAACCTTACATGTCTTAATATTTCGAGTGTACTTCGCAAGTCAGTTTTTCCGTTTTGTGACGAAAGTCTAACTTATTTTTAGTTTATTTATTTAAAACACACTATTTTCAATTTATTTCAGACGTACTATTTAATTTATATAATAATAACTAACAATTCTAATTTATTCTTACACTTTAACTTTCCAATACAATGTTCTATATTATAACTGTCTATAATCAACTGACCGTCATCTTTATACACGCGATATTTATATCAAGCCAACTCTGTATCCAGAATAATCCTGATGGTCGGGAAAATTCCAATTCTGACTCAACGGCACACTCCGTCCGTTCTACCCGTTTCTTGAGCCTCAGCGACATTCCCAGAATATTCCATCGCCTCTAGCATGAATCGGCTGCCCAGACGTGAAGGCCGCGTGCTTAGACAGAGTTGGACTGAATTATTTCATGATAGTTTGTTAAGTCTTCCACGATGGCATTTATTTGTCGGTCGAGATTACTGTATTTTGCGGCTCTTTTATTTAACTATATTTTAATATTATATTTAAACGTTGTTATGTAACTAAAAGTTAATCATTTTGTTAAATATATATAATATGTGAAAGATTATTGTATTTCAACCTTTTTAACGTTTGGTTAATAATGTAAACCAAATATCTACGTTATTTTAATATTAATTATTCTAGTTTATTTTAATATTCTTTTTAAATGTTATTATGTAATTGTGGTTCAACCGAAAGTTGGATATTAAGATACATACACGTTTAATATTAACGTTTCTTTAAATTACATAAAACTCGTAATAAAAACGTTATTGTATCGAAACACTTTGACGTTTTGTTTATATTTTACCTAAAAATATTAATTATTTTACTTTATTGCAATCATATTTTTAAACATTTTCATTGGTTATACTTAGAATAATAAGTTGGTTTATGTCTCATTTGTAAGAAGAGAAAGAAGATGGTTTATGTTGTCATTTTATTTTAAGTAATATAATTTTGTTTTAGAGATAACCATATATTCTAAATAATTGAAAGTTTGCGTCTGTTGTTGGATACATTTCTGAAATATCAGTATGTTACATTTCTGATAGGTTTCAAATTATTATTTATAAAATATATGAAATATTACATTTACAGGATATTTTTACATTTTAGGAATGTTTTAGAAATGTTTCTGCGGCGTTTCGTAATATTTATATATTATTTTATCGTATTCATGATTTCCTTAAAATGATCCATATTCGAGAATTTTGACAAAAAGTGCAAAATTCGAATTTTAAAGAAAATTATTCAAAAAAAAGTTGCTTACAATGTAATTCTCTATAATTTTTGTTCCATACATTTCTCTAAAATAGACCGAATTCGGGAAATTTGAGGTAAAGTGCAAAATTCGAATTTTTCTCATTATTTTCACTTATAATACCACTAGTGACCAAATTATTTCCGAAAATATTTTAGAAATCGCGAATAATTTGAAAATGATCCCGATATCATGCTCTATATTTTTTATTCTACACATGATTTCTCTAAAATAAACCGTAATGGAAAAATCGTCAATTTTTTTGCATCAACTAACTTTTTAATGCTCGCTATCTGTTAAAATCAAAGCTTGTTCTGCATGTCATTCATTTCTCTTAAATTTTCGATAATTCATTATTACCTGAATCAGATTGAAATCAGAATCAGGGTACATAAACTATGG